ATGCAGGTATGTTTATAGGTTAAGACTGTTGAAATTATGTCTAACATGTCTTTTAACAGCTTAGTGAAAAAATTTCTTTCAGTGAAATTGTATACGACCACTGGGCTGATCCTCCACCTCTATGCTCCATATATAAAGAACTCATTGCTGCGGTATCAAAATATGGGTATACAGGTAATTTACCCCATCTTGTTTGTTCCCATCGAACTTTAGTTTTCCATATAGTTGGGGAAATTTGTTCAGTAATAGTGAATTTGGTACGGTTATTTTAGCAGTAAGCAAGCGTGAAGCTTTCTGGATTGGTTGGAGAAGTAGCAATATTTTTGTGTGCATAATTAACATGTTAAAGATTTTGTTGTTGTGACTAACATTCTAAGGACTTCTTTGTTTTTGCTCCTTTTATGTGTTTCCTGTTTTTCGCATTTTTGCTTTCAAAATTGATATAGTGTGGTACAATCACTAAATTTATCTGCCATGAGTGAGTTTTCGGAGCATGCCGTTAATTAAGGAAACACTGTTCAAAAGGCCGTAATTAATTTCACATTTGAAAATTTTTACCCCTCCCTGACTTGGCCATCTTTGACTTGGTTTTGTGTTTCACTCTGATATGGATCTTATTGAATATTTTGTCCAGTGGCGATACGGATGCAGTTGTTCCTGTGACAGCCACTCGATAATCCATTGATGCCCTAAGGTACAACTTTAATCAACTGGTACCCGTGGTAGGACAATGGAAAGGTAAGTTGCAAATAAATCTTTCCTATATAATTGAGATCAAGGGGTCATTATGAATTATTTTTATGTTTGTTGTACACGTGTGTCTACTCTATTGCTTTTTCCAATTATTTCACCTTTTCTCTTTGTTAGCACAATACAATGTTTTGATTTTCACGTTAACAGTCTCGGAACTATACTGAAATAATTATCTCCAATAGTAATAGCAGCTTTATTCTTCATGTTGTGCTAACAAAAAACAGCAGAAAATGTTCAACATTTTTATCGTTATAACTCTTAATAACATGACAGCTTCTATTTGTTTTCTATCATGAAATGTAGTGATTGTTATTTCTGTTAATCTTTTTGTAGATCACTCCATGAATACACTCATCTCACTCGGTTTCTCTTCTGTAATTTAGGTTGGCGGATGGAGCCAAGTATACAAAGGGCTGACACTTGTAACGGTGAAAGGCGCAGGACATGAGGTTCCCCTCCATCGTCCTCGACAGGCTTTTATTATTTTCCTATCATTTTTGGAGAACAAGCCGATGCCAGGATAAACATGTTTAGTCCCATTGACTGTCTACAAAATCTACAAAGAAAAAGGAACTCTAGATTATGTGGGTACAATTTTGTCGGATTTTTTAGTTGTGATCTTTATTATTATTATTTAAATTTATAAATTGAGTCCATCAATTATCACCAACGAAAAACTAATCATTATAACATTTGCGAGCTAACTAATTACGAGTTTATATGTTGGGTTGTAAGAGAAAGTTTGTAAGATTGGATTATGAGTTAATCTTTATCCTTATTTTACTTATCCTTTGTGAGATAGTTTATTATGAAACATATATGCTATTGTTGAAAAATATTATATATTTTTTTAAATTAATTAAAAACTCTCTTAAAAAATATTAAAAAATCCTCTTATGAAACTATCAAATACATCTTGATAAGGGTTTATAATTCTTTTCAATAACAATGAATATTTTCATATTAAACGTTCTTATAAACCACTATTTTCACGGAAAAGTATAAATTAAATGAGTCAAAATATATATGTATGTATATATATTATAAATTAATTTAAAGTGCATAATATAATACAAGCGAATTATTAGAATTAATACAAGTGTTAAGACATTTTTGGACGATGAATATTCTCAAATGTGATTGGAATATTAGAATTTGTATTCTTACTTTTATTTTTTATTTGCATACGAACAAAAGATTGAAAATATCCCAAACATGTTTGTGCACTAATCAATCAAGCCAAATATGAAAAAAAAAAAAAAAAAGAAAAAAAAAAAAATCTGGCTAGAATGATGGTGATGGAATAGATGGACAAAAGCTATAATTTTCATGCTTTAACTTTCTGAAATCACAACATGGTAGGGCCTTAGTTATGGTTGTATTTTTGCATGCTAGTTGCTGAGGGTAACCCTCGATTTGTGCCACTTCTCAAGGCCCCCAGCCTCGGCATTGAACCTTCGTTTCCTTTGTACTTGTTAGATGATGGAAACATTAATGGAACAATAATTATAAACGATAAATTGTTATTTCAAATACTTGTGGAGAAAATTTGTAAATTCATTATAGTCAAGAGAAGAATAGTAATAGACACTATATATTATTAAATAGAAGATTAATCTATAAAGCTATGCTTGAATTAAAATACAATAAGGATAAAATTGACAGATTTTATAAATTTTTTCTCATAAATCTAATATGACAGTTAATAATTAGTTTTTGATAAAAATTTTCGTCTGAATCGATTAATTAAAAACCAATTATCAACTGTTACGTTGAATTTATAAGATAAAATTTGTGAGATTCGTTCAATTAGTGTAATATTACTTATAAAAATATTATCAATGGCCTTGTTTTCATTACGTTTAAACCTTTATTTTGAAAGAAAAAAAAAAAAGTGAGGTTAAAAAATCATGACTCTTTATCTTACTTTGATGTGGGCCTTGTTGATGGCCCAGCATGTCACTCTAAAGAAAATGGAGAGTCATTTGTGAAATGTGAACTGGACTCAACTATTAATGTGGGCCATTCTGGCTAAGTATTGTTTAATCACCGTCAAAATAGTCAAATAGCTCTCTTCTCATGAAGACAAAAAGGGGACAACGATGGTGATATTGAAATATTTAAACACTTCCACAAAATAAGTATTGTTGGTACTGTACATCTTTAAGGCATCAAATCTGCTACTTTTAAATGAAGTCGTTGAATTGTTTTAAATGGTAATATTTACTAAATTATTTTAAATAAAAAATATAATGTTATTAATCCTTCTCAAGCAACTACTAATATTAATAATGATTTATTTTGTATATATTTTTTATTTTTTTTATGATTGAGAATATTCAAGCTAGTTTACGGACACCTTAACTAATTCTTCGAAATCCTAAAACAATTGACTGAATAAAAGCTGCAATAATTACCTTTATTAACATCCTAGAAAAGACTTAAATTCAGAATTTTTTTAATAATATATTTAATAATTTTTATCAAACTACTCGGTTTTAACTATTTTTCTTTATTTCTAAAATCTTATCCATATCTATTTTTCTAGTTTTAATAATATTATTCCTTTTCATGTTTATCTAAAAGTTCTTAATGGGACCAACTCTAATCTTATCTACTTGAATATCTTGTCATCAAGAAATTAAAATATAAAATAATAACTATTCTTTTACTTTTCAAAAGTAAATAAAACTATCTCTTTTAAGCCAAAAAGGTGAGGTTTGGTATTTACCATATTCAAATTTCTTAATTAGTAGCACATGGTAATCAATAAATTATTAATTAATACCATTATATTATATTATATTATATCAATGAATGAATATTATTGGAAAAATATCAATAATTAATATATATATATATAATTTAAATAAACATTTAATGTAAAGAGAAGACATTCTCAGTACGATACTCATAACAACTAAGGTTTCGTTTGATGCATAGCTAATTTTCCTAATAAAGTTAAACAAAAAATTTGTATTTGGTTCATTTATTATCAAAATATTATTATAAATTAATTTTTTTAAACTCCTAAATTTGTTAATTTAACTAAACAACCTCAATTTTTTTTGAAAATTGACAAAAACACCTTAGTAACCCACATTTACCAGATTTCGGCTACCACTACCGAAAGTTGGCCGGAATTTGGTATAATGGCGCACTACCGACTGAATCTGGTCGGTAGTGCGTTAATCTAGCATTTTTCAGCCAGATCTACAGCTAAAGATCTAGTTGTCAACAACCAAATATTTAGCCGTAGATAGTCATCAACGACAGCCAAGATATGATCGTCGTTGACCATCAACGATGACAGTATCTTTGGCCGTCGTTGACGACCAAATGAGACAAGATTTGGCCATCAATGGCCAGATCTAGCCGTAGATCTGGCCAGAAAAGGCCATATCGGGGCATGACTGGCAAGATCCAGTGGGTCATACGTCGATACGGCAACTCCAGCCACCCTTCGGCAGTGGTAGCCGATTGTCCGTATTTAATCAGTGGGTTGAGGATGTTTTTGTAAACTTTAAATATTTTATTATAGGGGTGTTTAGTAAATAAATAAACATAAGAGATATTTTTGTTAATTTTTAAATTTTACATCGTAATATCCACCTTATTTAACTTTTTCCAAAATATTATTCTAAAAACTATCATAATAATGAACCAAACAGACCCTAAATTATAGGTAGTTTCATTTTATAGCTCTCAGTTTCAAAATTCATCATTTGTACGCTCTGTTTGATTTATTATTTTGATACTTTTTAGAATAATATTTTAGAAAAAGTAAAATTAAATTATTTTTATGAGAAAGATGATTATTAATGTTTTGAGAGTTGAATAAAGTAGAATTAAATTTTGAAAATATTGAAACAAATGCATTTTTTTAGTTTTTAGGATAAAATAATAAAATACGATAGGATAATAATAGCGTTATATTCATATGTTAAACTAATACATAAATAAATTATTTTAAAAATCTCGTCTCTTTCCCTGATTGGTGCATCATAACTTTTAATCTACGTTCCGTTTTGTGCTTTTTACTCATTCTTCACAGTTGAAAAGCTTGAAACTCCCATGTGCGTCAGGTACCTGTTCGGTCAAATGCCTGAACGGAATATAAATGAGATTCAAAGGGAATTTTATAAAATTAATAATTCACAAGGAACACAAAAACGATTTGAATTCCTCCTATGGATTCAAGCGTTTCACAACTCATGACAACTAATCACTATCATTGGGATTGTGACTTGAATGTCAACTCAACTCTTTCTATACTATGAATGCTACATTATATATTCAGATATTTTCTTGCCGTTGAAGATCTGTTTGGTTCAATATCCTGATACTTTTTGGGATCTGGAGTTCTGGGGCTTTGTTGTCTTCTCTCTCTCTCTTTTTTATTTTGGTATCAGTTGGTTTCAGTTTCTGGTCTCAGAACTTTGTGTATAAATTCCTTGAAATCCCTGAAACTGTATTGGGTCCTGTTTAGTTTGTGTTTGTCTTTTCAACATTCATGTTTTTTAGGATTTTGTAGATAATATTATTCTTTGGAATCTGGAAACAGTTTAAGATTTGTGTTTCTGGGTTTTGCTCCTTTTTAACTTAATGGGGTATTCACTAATCTTTGCTACTTGCTTTTTGTCTCTTTTATTTAGTCCTTGTCTATGTTCTTATTTGGGTGATCAAAAGAAAGACAAAATCAATGGGTTACCTGGTCAACCAGGAAATGTTGATTTTAATCAGTACTCAGGTTATATAACTGTAAACCAACAAGCTGGGAGGGCTTTGTTTTATTGGTTGATAGAGTCACCGGCTAGTCGTGGAGCTCAGTCAAGACCACTTGTTTTGTGGCTCAATGGAGGTCCCGGTTGCTCCTCTGTTGCCTATGGAGCATCCGAAGAGATTGGACCTTTTCACATTAGGCCAGATGGGAAGACGCTTTACTTGAATCGTTATGCTTGGAACAAGTGTATGTGAATGTCCACCTAGCACATTGTCTTGATTTAGTTACATAGACTTTGTTGTTGTTGTTATTATTGTAGTGTGTTTCTGAATATAAATGAGGCACATTCTTTTCTTGGTTGCAAATTATTGTTTTTGTATGCTAGTCTGATTCTGTTAAAATTTTTGAGCAGTGGCAAACTTGCTGTTCCTTGAATCTCCAGCTGGTGTTGGTTTTTCGTATACAAATACTAGTTCAGATCTGTACACTGCTGGTGATCAGAGAACAGGTAATTCGAAGGTGCTGTGGTTATAGTTCTATTGAAAGTGTGTTTTTTTTAATTATGAAATTTGTTGTTTTAGCTTAGAATTAGTTGATTTTGACATCTTTAGATGCTTTTGGGATCTGGTTGTTGTAAACTTGTAGCTGAAGATGCATATGCCTTTCTTGTTAATTGGTTTGAACGGTTCCCACAGTACAAGCACAGAGATTTCTACATTGCTGGGGAAAACCACAATTACACCTTTTACTTAAAATTGATTCATGTGAGGCAAGCAAAATCTCAACAGATCTAAATATGTAATTAAAAGGTTTAAAGTAGGTAGGAATAATAAAATAAAGGATCTTACAAAAATTCCTTTTATAAATAAAACTAAGTAGGCAATTTCTTGGAATTTATAATTTAAACAATTTAGTAAAATTAATTGAAGTAAATCAGCACTAAAAAGACATAAAGGAATCCAAAACTTAGGTTAACTTCATATTTCTTTACAAAAAAAAAAATGGAATCAAACTTTCAAATATATGAAGAGAGATTTTTTGTCACAAGTAAAGATAAGATACTTAGGCTTAAGAATAGAGAAATTGAAAAATAAAAATATTATTTTTTAAATTAATACGAAGGACTTGTTTGTAAATTGGAGAAATAATGATGGTTTTTAGGGGAAAAATTTTGCCCGCCTTTCGATATTTTTTTGTTCAGTTCAGCCCGCTCCGAGATGGAGTCAACCAGAAAACGACAGGTGGTCCACGTAAGCTACGGCACCTGCCGCGCACATGAACAATCTCTCGCTTGGGCCTTGGCGTACTTGTTGGTTTGAGGCGTAACCGTAATCACACGTGCCAAACACTTACTTTTTCAGTCACTAATTTGGCAATAGCTCAGGTCACGCATCAACCAACGGTGAAATACAATTTAGGGCTTACGTGGCGAATCTATCGCGGCATCTTCTCTATCCGTCGGCAGCAGCGATTCCTTCTAGGAGTTTCCTTTCCATTCCGATTTTATTTATTTTTTATTCTTATTTTAACCTTATCCTCCTAATTATTTCAATATTCCTGTTTTGGGCCATAGTTTTTTCTATATTTGTGATGTTGGCCCAAAGACAATTATGATTTTTCCCACCTAATAATGGTTTAATGAAACTTTTCCACCCAAGAGAAGACTGCTGAGCCTTTAGATGATAGAAGTTAAATTTTAATGATTGGGATTAATCAAAATTTGACTTAAGAGAAGTAGTTATATAAACTCTAATCGTTCGATTGTTGGCAATTAACAAGTCGACGGAAGTAAGGTTTGATAGGTTTTGGTGAGTGATGATGGGGGAAGAGAATGATAGGGTAAGGGTCGCAACCATGCTAAAATCAAAATGGAATATAAATTTAGGTATAAATCCTATTTTAAAAGTTTGTGGAGCGTGAGAGTTTATTAAGCCATTATTTTGGTGGGAAAAAGTGGTTTACTCTTTTTTATTTAATGGAACAAAACAAGTTATAAGTATAATATTCTCTAAATGATTCTTTATATGATTCAAATTATTTATTATAAAGATTTAACCATAAAACAAGACCTTTTATCTTTAAATATAAATTAAAGAGTTTGACTCTCCACATCTAGAGATCAGAGAGTCAAATTCCACTCTCTATTCTAATTTAATTAATAAATTACAAGTTTAATTGCATTTTATTCATCTTTCTTAAATAAAGAGTATTTTCATTAAATTCAAATAATGCATCGGATTTAAATAAAAATTTGTTCTTTATATTTAAAAATTAATAAAGAAACACCGTTGAACTCTTCAATGGTGCTCTTTATTTTGAAAAATGTCTTTCTTATAATAAAGAGCATCTTCATATTTTTAAATATAAAAAAACACGATTTTTATTCAATCCAATAAACTCTTTAAATTTAATGAATATGCTTTTTATTTTCAAAATAAACTTAGGGGAGAGAGAACTAATAAATAAAATCACATAGAAAGTTTAGTTTATTATAAAATTAGGATAGAAGTGAAATTTGACTCTCTAGATGTGGAGAGTCAAACTCATTCTTTAATTTATATTTAAACATAAAGAGTTTGTTGGACTTTTTATTTTATGGATAAACTCTTTAGATCATATAAAAGTAATTTGGAGATGCTATGATAAATAATATCAGCAATAGTGAAAGCATTAATATTTGGTTAATCCGTTACGTGGAGATAATTATTTTGGAATTAGAGTAATTGATTTGAAATTAACATTCTTGGGAATGATTAAAGATGATATCATGACATTAAATATTCCTTATGGAACCACCAGAACCGTGTTAAGTAAGGGAAAAAAAATTTATGAAAATATTCCCAATGGTAGAAACAAATTTCCAAAAAATTCTTTCAAAAATTTATTATGTAAAAGCAAATTTTAAAGTTTTTATATGAAAATAATTTGTATTTGGGTGTTTTTAAAATTTATTAGAGAGGTTTATATTATTATATGATCTCCTTCTAAATCTGTTAAAACACTCATAATTCGATGGGGAAAAAAAAAAAAAAGTATTGGTAATCCCCTTTTAAAGCTGCTCAAGCCTCCTATAAATTTGGCAAAAATAAAGCTTCCAAATTGAATAAAACCACATCTACAGTAAAACATTTTTATGGTGATACTCTATATAGAATAACTCACATAGACAAAAAAATATATTTTTAATTTGAGATAATTATAAATAAGAATAAACTCTACATTAATAGTTATAATTTTTTTAATTCTCATCTCAAGGAAAGTTACTTCCATATAGATAATTATCTATATATTACAAAAAAAAAAAAAAAAAAAAGGTATGTTACATTAAAAATTTAAGATGAAATAAAATATTTATCTGAAGTTTTTTGAGACAATAATTTATACTTTAAGTTGTTATCACATGTTTTAACTTGCGGATATATTAATCACTAGCATGAATATTTCTTGTTAAAGCCAAAACTTTCTAACTTTTTAAGTATGTTTAGAGCTTCTTAACATGAAACTTTCTATATTTCCGTACTAACATTCTCGTATTATTTCATTTTTCTTATTGTTTAATTGTAGAAATGATTTTTTTCTTTTGTTAAAGTATACATGACTTGTTACTCATCTGGATAATTAAGGAAAATATAATATTCATTCGATTGTGTAATGAAGTTGTCGAATTTGATTACTTAATTCTACATGACTCTTTGATTCTCTTCATCTACTTCATTTGTAACTTGTAATTCATCCATCAAGGACCCTAGTTTTGTATGTTTTAAACAATTGACAATTGTTTGGGCTTTACATCAATTGTCATGCACAATTGCATTTACAATTCCATCAAGACATTTATCTTTGTTGGTTTTAAAACACGATATTCTATTCGTTTCAAAAGTAGGCATTGAAGCGCTGAATTGAAACCCTAATTTATTAAAATATGAATTGAAATCTGAATATTGTACTACTAAAACATGAATTAAATAATTTTTTTTTTAACTACATCTCAATTAAATCAAACCCCCTCATAGTAAATAAATTAGTTAGTCCCACTATTATGACTATAGAGAGGTTTTACTGTATTTTTTTTTTTTTTTTTTTTTATGATCAAGAGTGTTTTACTACCCTACATGCACCTCAACTAATCCTTCGAGACCCTGAATTATCAATCATAATAACTCTGGTGGCAACCCTTATTAGTCCCGTGGACCGAACTCGGGAGATTATGTCAATCCTCCTCTTACTCTTTTACCCTCGAGAAATTCGAGATTCTTTTTTACTCTTTTACCATCATGTCATTTAGTGATGGTTTACTACAACTACTTTGTTATCTTTTATAATTTCCTTAATTTTGACAAAATAAGAGGGTTATTTGATTTTTTTATGAATAAAACGTAAAAATAAAAATAACAAATTGTGGTTTTCTCTGCTATCGATGATGAAGAAATCAAAGTTAATTACTTTAACTTTATATAGAGAAGTTCGATAATAAGATAATATATTATTATTATTATTACATATGTGAATTGATTTGTTGCTTAATGAAGCGGCACACCATTATAATATATATGGTTCCATGCTTTCAGCCGTCATCGATAACTACTACCTATAGTCAACTACGTATTTTTAAATCCAATTTAGCCATGATGATTTGATAGGGTCACTAAATTATTAGTTTGTTTGATTGAAAATCAAATTAATTTATAATTTTTATAATATTAATTTCAATACAAATTGAATCTATTCAAACCCATTTCACCAAATCTCCTTTATAATATTTGTCCTTGAAATTTGTGTCACCTCGCTTTAAAAAGGATTAATAAGAGTTTTTATTTTTATTTTTGTAGGGTTTTTTTTATAGCCGTTGAGAGTATTTATGCTGCGTTTGGTTCAAAATTTGGGGATTTTGGGAAAAGTTTTTTGAAAAAAGTTAAAAAAAAATTGAATTGGGCGGGTATTACGAGGTAAAATTTATAAATTAATAAATCCCTTTATGTTTGTTTTTTTACATTACCCCCTATAATAAACATAAAAGTTAACAAAATACCCCTAACCCACCCAAAACACCCCCAGCCGGTGACCACCACCGGAGGTGGCCGGAGTCGCCGTATGGGCGCATGACCGTTGGATCTTGCCGGTCATGCGTCGCTATGGCCTTTTCCGGCCAGATCCACGGTGGGTATTTTACCTGTTTAACTTTTTTGGGAATACTAAAAATAGTATTCCCAACTGTGAAACAAACGCAGCCTATATTTTTCATAATAATCATACATTTCAAATTAAACGATCTCATAAAAGAAATAAATGAATAACCGTATTTAACGTAAGTTTTAGGGTTTTTTTAGGGTATGGACATGAAATATGATGAAAGAAACAGATGTCAAATGTGAAAGTTTTAGTATAAGGAACTTATGACTTACTTCACCATCATGTAATTTGTCTCGTTGGTGGGTTGGTATTCAATTGATTCGAGTGCGTGATCATGCCCGTTCACCTAAATTCTTCTATTAACAAAATATCAATTTCAACCACATTTTCTATGTCTACAAAATTCTTATCATGGTTTCATTAAACAAATAAAATTGTACCATTGGTTGCAATAGTAGATCCAAAAATTTTTGTAGGGTGGGCCAAAATAAAAATTAATATAGATTAATATTTTTGTCTATTAATATTTTTGTTAGGTGGACTAATTATACATATTAATATTTAAAAAAGAAAACTTGAGGGTGAGCCAAAAAGAGACTGGACCCGCCCCTGATCGATTGGGTAGGTTCAGTGGCTAGACTACTCCTATTAGCAGCCGAGGAGG